CAGCACTGGTGTTATATGGCATTTCATGGGCGTTTTTGTGAGTAACCTGGCTGCAGCATTTTGGACAGATCAATGCCAATGAGTATTTTCTGTTGGTCATGGGAGTTCTGTGTGCCAGGTTTGGTTCAATTCCATCATTGGTGGAGCTCAGAATGCTGTTTGATTATAAATCCCAGCAACCACAACTCCAAAATGACAAAATCAACCCCTCCCCCTGACCCTACCAGTATTCAAATTTGGGCATATTGAGTATTTGTGCCAAATTTGGTCCAATGAATCAAAATACATCCTGTATATAGATATTTACAGTGTTTCATAACAGTAGCAAAATTACAGTTATGAAGGACCAATGAAAATAATTTTATGGTTGGGAGTTACAACAACATGAGGAACTGTATTAAGAGGTCATGGCATTGGGAAGGTTGAGAAACACTGTCCTAGATTATCTTAAGTCATAGTAAAGGAAATACAGTAGGTGAGAAGAATCTACTCCTCTAATTAGGGTGAATGGATCTGACTATTTTTGGCTGTCAGTTCTTTATCTGTCCATTCATAGGTTTGCTGTGTCCCATTTCTGCATTCATCTGTGATTTTTTAAAAAAACAAAAACCCACCAAACTGCCTATATTGATGTTCGGTTTTGAACATACTGTCTCTCAAAATATCTCCGCAGTGAATTACATTTAGCGTATACATTCTCCAGCATCCCTACACTTAATGAGCTATCTAGGCAACTGTAAGAGAAAATAAGCTGATGGACACAGCTTCACAGCTCCATTTGCTATCACTTCAATCCTGGCCAATTAATACTGTAGCTTTTGGGTGAGGCTCCTTGGATTTCCCCCTCTTATCTCTTTTTCTTCATAATTGTCCACAATTTGCTCAGTGCTTTTGAGGTTTTGACCTGAACTGCTAACTATAAACATTATAAATTGTACCCAGAAATTCTTGAATTTCTGTTTTCCCTTTGCAGCTTGGGAAAAAAAAGAAGAAATATATGCCTTACCAGCACCAGCACAAATACTTCATTCGTGAGTATCTCTGCCATTTTGTATAAGAAGCTAAATTTAGCTGCTGCTTGCCACCATCCACAAGGTCATGCTTATTGGTGAAGCAGGACAATTGTGTAAGGGGTTGATAGTAGCAACACTTTGATAAAAGCATGGGATCTATGGCAGGCATTCATTTGCCAGGATGACTTGAGGAAGAAAGGAGCAACCTTTCATTTTGACTTGATTGAAGATAAGGTAGTCCGCAGTGAAAGAAATGGCTAACTTTTGTTTTCTTGTATTCTCTTTTTTATCATAGTCTTAGCCCCAATTACGTTCGTTGTTTTTGTCCAAGTGATTATATTCCGCTTTGCGATTCAGAGGAAAAAATGGTTGGTAAGTAACCTGCAAGCATGTCATTGCACTGCTTTTGTGGGGTTGCTGTACAAAATGAAATAGTGCTTGACTGTGTGGTCACTGCTCATGGGCAGCCACTGAAATATTTCTTATTCTGCCTTTTCCATCTCATCTGCACAAAATTGAGAAACTATAAAACATGGGGGAGTGGGGGGGAGAGACAGGGTATAAATATATAAATAAATAAATAAATAAATAAATCAGTTTCGGTTTAATTTGAAATCAGCTTTGATCTCCATGTAAGTTTGGCATTTTGAAACAACTGATTTCTGTTTGTTGTTTACATTTTTTCCTAAGTTGTGAATAGTTACTACGAATAGTTTTCTTTACCACTTTGCCATCATTGCAACATAGGACAAATTTGAACAACAGATACGATTAATTTGAAAGCAATCATATGTGAATTCTGATGTGTGGATTTCTTGTTATAGTTTTTGATATTCCTTTTGCTATTCTATTCTATTCTATATACAGCCCCCTAGTTATATGATTGTTGTTTTCTTTAATACCCTTTAGATTTTAGCCGATTCATTTGCACTCCCTCACAGTCAAATGACTTACATTTTCATGAATTCTGCTGGGAAAATGAGCTCAAGCACAATTCTTATGTGAGGACTGACAAAGCTATCAGTTTCACTTCTGTCCCATCTACCCTGACATAGAAAATCCAGATTATCTGCTTTGAACTAGACTTTATGGCAATGTAGTAATAATAATAATAATAATAATAATAATAATAATAATAATTTATTTATACCCCACCATCATTTTCCCAAAGGAACGTGAGGCGGCTAACATGAGGCCAAACCCAAATAATTAAAATAAAGCAAAGTACAAAGTAGACGATATCATCTACAAAGTAGACGATAACATCAAATAAAATGCTTAACAAAACATAGTAATGCTAACAATAAATAATAATAAATAATAACATAATAGAAACAAAGTATAAAATGATAAAATAATTAAACAAGGGCAAGCTGGGCTAAATGCAAAGAGTAAAAATTGTAAAACCTGTGGGCGAGATAGATAGATAAGATGCTGTGTCTAATGGGAAACTCATATAATCCAGTTCAAAACATATAATCTGGATTATCTGATTTGATAATCTGGATTATATGGCAGTGTAAATCCAGACTTCATCTCACATTCAAAGTTTGTGAATGTGGATAAATTCTAGTGAAGGGGGTATCTTCCCTTATTCCTAGCTCCCATTATAGTGTTGTTTAGTTCGCATCACTTTACTACCATCTAGTGGTGAGCAAATTATGAAGATGTATATTGAAGCACCAGCAGGAGTGCCCAATGCATAGTGGTGCACAAACCACATTAGGCATCCTGCTGGCTCTGTTGCTCTATTGTAACATAACAGCAGATTGCTAGGGATACAGACATGATGAAACTGACCAATTTTTTTTTTGGTCGTGTCAGGAGCGACCTGAGAAACTGCAAGTCGCTTCTGGTGTGAGAGAATTGGCCGTCTGCAAGGACGTTGCCCAGGGGACGCGGATGATTTGATGTTTTATCATCCTTGTGGGAGGCTTCTCTCATGTCCCCGCATGAAGAGCTGGAGCTGATAGAGGGAGCTCATCCGCCTCTCCCCGGATTCGAACCTGCGACCTGTCGGTCTTCAGTTCTGCCGGCACAGGGGTTTAACCCACGGCACCACCGGGGGGCTCATATTTTTAAGTCCACTAAGAAAGATATGACTCCCATTCAGAATTCTGGCACATGTATATAAAACCATGGACTTGGTGGTCACCATGACTGCTACAGCAGTAATCTTCCATCCTTTTTAATTGCTTGAACATTGTTTTGTTTTTGTTTTTTTGGCAGGAACTCCTTCTTGTTGTGTTGTACAATATTCGTGTCTGCCTCATGTACATTCCTTTGATGGGATTCAAGAGTTTCATGGCATTCTACTGGCTGGCCAGGTAACAATCACTGTGCATAACTTTGTTCTGGACTGCCAATGCTCATAGATTTAGGAGTACAAAGTCAGGATGGGTAGCTCTCTGTGTACATGGTGGCTTCATTAGGTCATGAATGATCACACCAACCAGAAAAAGCTCATGATGGCCTGTAGAAACAGCTAGATCCATGATTCACAAGCCAGACCATGCACTCTGACTGATTGGGCTTCAATTGGATATCACCCACAGACCTCCAACCATAAAGAAGAGTTGGGACTTAGATGTACCAAAAGTCTTGGCCACATAAAATAAATAGATTAACAATTGATTCTTTTGGATGTCAAGCTAGAATTTTCTACAATTCTAGCTTCTTATTAATATGCCAACATGTTGGTGCTGCTGTGTTCAGGGCAATCATTCCAGCTATAAATTGGACCAGCTTCACCAACCAAAGCCCAAGTTTGACAAAACCTCTGTGCTCTTAGCGACCCCAAAAGGCTCAATAAATTCTCCTTCCTAAAGGTATCAACACTGAGAACTTCCCCCTGTAAAAAGGTGGTCGATCTAATGAAGGCCTATGGGACATTTCAATCCTTAACCCCATAGATAAGTATGGGAAAAAAGAAACAAGGTTGCAAAAGATAAGAAGAATAAGGGAAATGGCTGCTAGAATGTCTGGAGAAAGTAAACATTTAGCAGGGAAACATTTGTAATGGGTTAACCCTTTATAAGACTTCAGAAGGCAGTTGAAAAGTTGGAGAAAAACCTTTTTTGTTTAAGCTTTGAACGAATTAGCTCCTTTCAAATGGTCCATCTCTGGCTGGATAGTGATGTTTTGTTATTTGATTCCTTAGGTTTTTAGAAAGCAACTGGTTTCTCTGGATCTCCCAGATGAATCACATCCCAATGAACATTGACTATGACCAGAATTTAGACTGGGTCTCTGCCCAGGTAAGAAAAAGTCTGATACTGCATAAGGGGAATCATTTTTTAATTCAAATATATTTATTCATAAATATTTTAGGGCACATAGTTTCATAATAAAGAGCTGAGTTATATTGCAATTTCTTATTTATTTTACTTATCATGTCAGAAGTGAATTGAAGGTACAGTTGTACTGTATTTAAAAACACAAAGTAAAAACTTGGCATTATACTAAATGTCCTTTGACCAGTAGCTGGTCACTTGGAGTGCCTCTGGTGTTGCCATAAGAAGGTGCTCCATTGTACATGTGGCAGGGCTCAGGTTGCATTGTAATAGGTGGTCTGTGGTTTGCTCTTCTTCACACTCACATGTCATAGACTGCAATTTGTGGCCCCAATTCTTAAGGTTGGCTCTGCATTTTGTGATGCCAGAGCACCATCTACTCAATGCCTTCCAAGTCATCCATTCTTCTGTGTGCCCAGGGGGACATGAGAGAAGCCTCCCTGTAGGATCACAACACATCCAGACATCCCCTGAGCAACGTCTTTGTAGACAGCTGATTCTCTCATGCCAGAAGCAACTTGCAGCATGCAACCAAACAAGCAACTTGCAGTATGCAATTGCCAAATTGTTGTAATATAAGTCCTTCAGTAAAGCCCAATGTAATGTCTAATGCAGTGGTTCTCAACCTGTGGGTCCCCAGGTGTTTTGGCCTTCAACTCCCAGAAATCCTAGCCGTTGGTAAACTAGCTGGGATTTCTGGGAGTTGTAGGCCAAAACACCTGGGGACCCACAGGTTGAGAACCACTGCTCTAGTGGAAGTTGTTAATTTCAGGAGGCTTTGCTACTGTCCACAGTGTCTATGGTAATTTCAGGGGTGTGTCTCTTGCAAATATGGGGGAGGGAGGTCTAACTCTACTGAGAGCACTGCAAGAATAACATCCTGTGTTAAGGCTCACCTCACAACCCTATTGTCTTGGGGAGTAAGTTCCACTAAAATCAGTAGAGCTCATTTCTGAATAGGCACCCATGAGCTGACTTAAGTTAGTATGCTACAAGGTGAATTCTGAAAAACAATTATAGCATCTATGAAACACAGGTGTATAACCTTAAAATCCCAGAAAATAGAGAGTGGCCCCTTATCTTTGAAAGATACATTTGTGGACTTCACATAGATAAGCATAAATGCAGATAGCTGTGAAGCCTATTGAAATGAAAGATTTGTGGCCCTGAAATACCATAGAGCAGCCAGGGAGGAACTAGAAAATGACAAGAGAGGACGTAGTTTCTTGGACATGGATAAATGAAACCATAGATATTCGTCCTGAAGATAAAGTGGTTGCATCCATACAGTGAAGGGACCTGACAAGCATTCCTAGAGAGTTTCAGACCACAAGTGGGGTGCAACATCTCGAAATGCCCTCCCCTTCTCAAGTCATAAGCTTAGGACATGATTACCATAATACTGCCAATTCAATCGAAGAGGAAAGAGTGCTTTCCAGGTCAAGAACACTAATGAGGAAGTCTAGTATCTACTGGCAATGAGAAAATGACTGTGATTTCTTCTCCTTCCTTAGCTTGCAGCAACGTGTAATGTGGATCAGTCCTGGTTCAATGACTGGTTGAGTGGGCACTTGAATTTCCAGATTGAGCATCAGTGAGTATGATATCTGCAGTGAGAGAAAGAAGTTGGATAAGAAGTTGAGATAGAATAAATTATTCAGCATAAATGAATTCATCAAGGAAAGGCCTTCTTAGGGCACTTCCATACAGTCGTATAACCCATAATAGAATAGACAAAACCCCACAATATCTGCTTTGAACTTGGGGCGCTTCCAGAAAGGCAGTTATCCCAGGATCATCTGTGTTTTTAAAACACAGATGTTTCAGGGGGCCTGTCCACACCCACCCCAGAAAGTAAGTGCATGCTGTCTGGGGTGGGTGCCCAGATGCTCTTGTGGGACTGGCCCACAAGAACATCTGGAAGCCCTACCCTGCCTCCCCCAAAGCCCCCAAACCCCCTTTAAAAGTAAAGAAAACTTACCCGGTCTCCAGTACAGTCTTGCAGCAGCTCTCCCAGTGTGTAGAAATGACATGCCAGGACAGCGGGGGGGGGGGGGGGGGGGGGGAAAATGGGCATCGTCGTCTCCCATGTCATTTCTACATGCCCCTCTGCAACACTGTACTGGAGGCCAGGTAAATTTTCTCTACATTTAAAAGGGGGTTGGGGGCTTTGGGGAAGGGGGGTGGGTATTCCCACAGTTTTACAAACTATTTTTTTCTGAAAAACTGTGGGAATGGTGTCTGGACTGTAGTCCGGACACTGGAAGTAGTGGGTTTATCCTGCGCCGTCCAAGAATTATCTAATTAATTGTCCACAAACCATGGTTGAATGTTAGAGTGCAGGGAACCCTTTGACGGAGATCAAATGCTGTTGGATCAATGAAGGAGCCTTGTCATGTCAACTTGAAAATCACCTCTGCTTTTCTTTCTTCAGCCTTTTTCCAACCATGCCTCGACATAACTATTGGAAAGTGGCTCCTCTGGTGAAGTCTCTCTGTGCCAAGCATGGTGTTAAGTACCAGTGCAAACCTTTGCTCACAGCCTTTGCGGACATATTGCGGTAAGCATTTATTAATTCTTACGTCCTAGTGGAAGGAGCCTCAGAGAAAGACCAAAGAAGGATGAAAGAGAGAACACCCTGTGGAACATGCATTATATGAGATTGAAAAGAGTCTGTTTTCCTTTCCTTCTGCAGGACTCTGAAGGAATCAGGGGAGTGCTGGCAGGATGCTTATTTCCACTGATAAGAAGAAGCTTTCAGAAAGAATCAGCATGCTGAGTGGCGTTCTCCTAATGCAGAAAATGGATGAAATCCATTAGTATTTATTTAAATATGCATTCAGATTCATGTGGATTTTCCCTTTTTACTGCAACTCCCAGCAGCCCCACTCAGTATAGCCAGTGGAAAGGAATGGTGGGAGTTGCAGTCCAACAACTGAAGCCTCACAATTATTAACCCCAGTCTAAAGCCTAGCAGAATGGAGACAATGTTCCATATCCCACTAAGCTCAACACATCTGGCTTGGAAAATCACAAAGGGATAGGGAGACTTCTGTATAGGTCAACTCCACAGAAACAATTTGAGGAACTTATGGCAATTTTGATCTGCTACTTTTGTGTAGAATGTAATGCTGGATTCCCTCTGAAGGGATGTGAGATCCAGTGGAAATGTGGTAAAGTATAAATATGTACCTCCAAAATCTGCTCCAATTTTTGGCCAGCTCCAAAGGCTACAAGGGAAGAGAAGGATATTGTATTGTGCTTGTGCTGTAAAGCCAACATGACAATGGCTTTCAGTCCTTTTAAATGTTGGTACTGTTCTGTGTAGAAGCCACAAGGGGGCACTAGAAAGAGAAGGATAGTCCATTTTATTGGGGGGGGGGGAGATGGAGGAAAATCATCCCCCCCATCCCGCTTGTGCTGTTATTCCCCCTCCCCACTTCCCATTTCATAAACTAGGATTGTTTCCATGTCTGTGACATGGGTGTGGGGAGTAACAGGAAAACAAGAGGAAATTGTTTTATTCCTTCAACCCACCCTCCAGCCCCATAAAATGGACTACCTTTCTCTCTCTAATGCCCCCTAGTGGCCTCTGCCTGGGTAATAGAACAGTACCTACATTTTAACTGCTATCATCACCATCATCATCATCATCATCATCATGATCGGCATTACTTTTTGATGTGTATTTCTTAGCAATAATTGCATATGTACATGCTTTCTTTTTATCTTATTGAATATGAATGTTGTCAGTCACCTTGGGTGAGTCATAGGTTGAAATAAACAAAACAATGTATGTATTTAAACACTTTAAAATGTTTTACAAGAAATTCCAATTCAAAATAAAGATATCTGCTTTTTTTAAAAAAATCACAGGATATTGTTCAGTTCAAATTACTAAGAAGTACCTGAAACCTAATATAGGCAGTCACTGGGTTACAAACATGTTGAATTTGTATGTAAATTGGAACAAGTATATTTTAAAGTGTTAACTTCAACCATTTTTTAAAGTTTTAGATAGAATAGGGAGGGGTTAACACCCCTATAAGGTTTATTTTGATGCCTGTCCTCCTGTTTAAAATATTTCACCTGGATTTTGAAAATATTAGCTTGTGGAAAGAAGAATTGGTGATAAAACATCAGTGGAGACAACTTTTCCCCATGATAACTTCCAGGAGTGAATTTCCTTTCATAGGGGTAGATTTCCTCTCAATTCCTGTTGTCTTACCCCTATTTGTAACTAGGAGTTGTATGTAAGTCAAATGTCTATAACTAGGGGATGGCCTGTACTCTGAAGGCACCAGATCCAATCTGATCTTGGAAGCTAATTATGGTGGTGGCAACATATCCTACCAAGTTCACATTCCTGTTTATTGCCTTTGTGACATGTTGCTACTGCATTGTATTCATGTTTATTGTCAGCCACCTGAAAGAGTTGAGAAGTGGGCTGAGAGAGAGGGAGAGGGAGAGAGGTAGATAGCTGATAGATAAATAGTTCACAGATTGCATATCTCCTTGTTTGTTTGTCAAGTTAGGAAACTGGGTTGTTGTAGGTTTTTCGGGTTATATGGCCATGTTCTAGAAGCATTCTCTTCTGATGTTTTACCTGCACTTATGGCAGGCATCCTCAGAGGTTGTGACCTCACAACCTCTGAGGATGCCTGCCATAGATGCAGGTGAAACATCAGGAGAGAATGCTTCTAGAACATAGCCATATAACCCGAAAAACCTACAGCAACCCAGTGATTCTGGCTGTGAAAGCCTTTGACAATACATCAAGTTAGGAAAGCAAATTAAACTGATGTTCAAAGTCCTAAGGGTACAAACTAGTATTCAGGTTCATTAAACAAGCCAGGAAGTCAATTAGGAGTGCCAATACAAGGTTTCACAGGTATCAAGCAGGGTTTAAAAGTTCAGCAGAGTATAAGACAGGGTCACAAGAATCAGGTCTGGATATTGAGAACCAACCCAGGGGTCACAACCAAGATAGAGCTCCCATCGTTCAACTTTACTGTTCCCAAAGAGGAACCATCCCTCTTTTTATGCAGAGATGCTCAGCTGGTGCTCAATCACCAGGCCTTTGCCACCAATTTTTGCAGCCTGTCAGTCATTACTCAGGAAGGGACCTCTTCCAAACTGGAGCCAGATTAACCCCTTTCAAGCACTCAGCAGCAGCTGAACCAAACCAAACAAACTGCTGGACATGACACAATGGCATATTTGGCTTCATGGGAATTGTGCCAGGGGTACTCTTAGTATCACAAATGCAACTTGTTTTTTTAGGCCGATGTCTCAGCTTTTCAGTTGGATTCAACATAATATCACCTCTGCCTTGGGGTATCTGTATATTACAAGTAGCTAGGAAACATCTTTTTGTTGTTGATAATTCTGTCATGTGGTACTGCTGTTTGTTTTTCCTAATCTCAAATGGAATCAAAGAAATTTACTAACCAAGAATGCAAAAATCTGGAAACGTATTTATAACTGGCCAAAGGAAAGAAAAGGGTGGTGATTCCCCCCTAAAATGTCTTGTCCAGATTTCTTTAGACAATGTTTTCCATTGCATTCTTTGAGTTTAGGGGAGTGTGACTTCCCTGAGGGTTTCCGTAGCAAAGAGGAGATTTGAATTCTGTTTTCCCATAATCCTGTTCCAACATTCAAGTCATTGTATTATGTCAGCTATCAAAACTGCTATTTCCAGAGGTGATGCAGTTCCAAAGACAGCAAGACAAGTTTACAATGGAATTGCACTTTGTACATATAGATGCAAATGTAGAAATCATTGTTGTAACTGAGAAATTAAAAAAAACACTTCCATACTGAGATGAGACTCGAGCGTTTATGTGACTTATGTGTCTGCTCAATCTGCTGCTCTCTCCCACATATAGAATCATTACAGCTTGGGATGTTTTTGAATGACAAATCCCACATGGCTATTTTTCTACAGAAAATTGCATTTTTCTGAACAGAAATCATAGGGGAGGGACATGATTCTAGTGCAGAAATGCAGTTTTCTGCATGCACACATCCTATGTGGGCTTGTACTAAAACATTATGTGAGACATTTATTTTTCTGAATTAAGACTGAAGGCTTTGCTCTGAGACAGGAATTCAAATTATGATTATCCTGCTGTTGAAAGGGTTCACTTCCCTTTGCTTCTGTGGTTCCCAACCATTGGGCCTTCAGGTGTTTTGGATTTCAACTCCCAGAAATCCCAGCCAGCTTGCCAGCTGTTAGGAACTGTGGGAGCCGAAGTCCTAAACACCTGGAGACCCAAAGTTTGGGAACCACTGCTTTACATGATCCATAAATTGTGGCATACCAGATGTCAGTTGCCAGTAAGACAAAGAAACAAAGAGACAATTTATTTGATGGATTAAAACAATGAAAATGTATTTATGTTCATCAGAAGCAGGAAACAACAAGTCCCATCTAGCAATGACTTTGTCCCATTTACATGAGGCAAACTTAAGTGCCTCCACATAAAAGAAGAAATAAACACACATAATGTATTTATTCTGAAACTAGTGGGGAGAGCATTTCAATCCACACAGGTATTTTGTAACTTGGAAGTTGCTACACCTGAAGAAAAAGGTTCAAAGAGAAATGGTAGTACAAAGTGGATCAATTGAAAGACATTTGCAGGTTTGGTAGTTATCAGATTTCAGCTCAGCAAGAACAAGAAGTGGTTATCTTATTGGAGAAATTAATCACATCAGTTGCTGGCTTATTATGAAACTATTCCAACACATCGCTGTACATGTTCACTAGGCCAGATCATCAATTGTTCAATTGGTGCAACTCCCCCAGTTCCATCACTAGTGCTGACAGAAGTAGGGTTCAGATTGCTTCCTCTGTCATCATTTACATTTGCTCCAGGATTCTATTCAGGGCATCTGCACATGTGACTTTTCCTTATGCATGCAGATGTCCTTTTACCAGTTCTGTCTGAACTGGCATTCTCTTTCTCCCTGTACAACACAAACCAATCCAAAATTGTCCACATGGGTAGCTGAGATAGTTAAACTTTTGCATTCTGGCAGTTCAATGTACACAAACTTTGACTCATGCACAAAATGGTTAAACATTGTGTATAAAACTAACTCTAGGCTATGTGTATAAGATGTATATGCTAATTAGTATTTCAGACTTGGGCTCCATCTCCAAGATATCTCATGGTTCCAAGACCCAAAATACAGAACACCTCCGGTCCCAATCATTTTGCATAAGGTAAACTCAGCCTGCTTACTTATGTTGCTCCTGTTCCCCAGAATGCTGAAACTTGAAGCAGCTTATAAAACAAAAAGATACAAGTTGAAACATATATAAGGCTTTTCCCGACTGGGTGGAAAAAGTGAGAGCTCTTGTAACATTGCTCCTTGCTTGTTAAGAGAATTGCAACATGGTTATAGCCGCCTCTGCATCCACTCACTACCAGAGCAGCCAAGCCGGCTCAATTGCCCCACTGGTCTGGCTAGTGGCTATGAAACCCCCAGAGTGGAGAGGAAAAAGGAGAAGGGTGATTGTCTCTCCTCCCACTGTAGTTTGTCATAAGACAACAAAATCTATTCACTCACTCAGGGAAAGGGACAAGGAATCCAGGATAAACTGTGATATATCCTGGAGATATATATTTTAAAAAACAGATATAAAGATCATAACTCAGGAGGGGGCACAGGGGAGGATTTAGACCAAGCACAATCCAAAGACCTGAAGGCCTCAAAGGCAGAGCAAGCGGAAGATAACATGGTACATGTCACAATTGCTGGGAAAGCAGAAGACTGCAACAAATGAGAAGCCACTGTCATCATGTTAACCATGTCACTGTTTGGGAGCCTCATTCTGTGAAGACTGCGTGTTGATCGGCTGCGCACTGACTTCCACACATTAAAAAACCTCATGTAAAGGCATCTTCCAAGAAAAATAAAACAAAACAAAGTCCCATGGCAATCAGCCAACACCATTCTTGGCATTGAATGTTTGCCACTGTGTTTTAGTTTGCTGGAAGCCACTCTGAGTCCCTTCAGGTTATAATTAAAGTATTATTATTATTATTATTATTATTATTATTATTATTATTAATTATACACTCCATGCAGTCATGCCGGCCACATGACCTTGTCTACAGACAATGTCAACTCTTCGACTTAGAAATGGAGACGAGCATCAACCCTCAGAGTCAGACACGACTGTCAGAGGAAAACCTTTACGTTTACATATTGGTATATTATAGCACATAGATGAGAACCTTCCTGTATACTTCTATTATGTTTTTACAAATTTAAAATTTAAAAACTTGGGACAATCATTTTTAGCTATCAATATAATCATCTCTTAACTCAAGTCTC